CCACTTTACGCATCCCCTGGGCAAACACCTGGGCCCACCCACTTGGACACCCTCTGCACCATGGTGCGGAGGGGAACAGTGGGGTCGCGGAGTCCTCTGAGCTTGCGCATAGCTTTCTTCTGAAGGGATTTCTTGGGGATGGGTTCCAGGGTCGGGATCGAGAAATTGCCTACTTCATTCACCGTCGTCCTGATCCAGGAAGACTTCCACCAGGGCCAGCTCAGCCGAGCAGGAATGAAGTTATCGTCTTCCAGTGAAACCGTCAAGGACTCCATCTCATACTGGACAGCATCAATACTGGAGCAGGACATCAACACCCGAAACTTGATAGCCTTCGAAAAACAATCGATGGCCAGGCACTCTAGAGAGGCTCCCAGCGCACGCAAGCCCGTCAGCATCTCTCTCGAGCAGGCATGGCGGGGACCAGCAGTGATCACCTGAAGGGCCTCATTATACGCTTTCCGAAGAGCCGTAGTCACAGGACAGAGTTGTAGCTGGTACGCCAATATCGACATGCAGTGCGAGCGAAAAAGACGAATAGTCTGAGGAAGTCCTAGCCAAAGCCCACGGAGCCTCCGAACCGTCATCCAGAACTTGGGAATGGTATTGCTCCATACTGTATCCAAAGCGCCAGGCCCAAGCCAAAATCCCAGGTACAAAACAACGCGAACAAACCCAATGCGATGATACTCACTCCCCTTGGCTCGAAGGTGGGCAACTAATCTATCAGGATCAAGCGAGCCAATCACCAATACCTTACATTTAGGAATGTTCAACCCCAGTCCTACCGCATGTTCCAACTTACGGAGGAGCGAAAGCGTCGGCTGAAGGTCCGTCAGGATGTTGGGAAGGCAGAACGCGAGATCATCAGCGCATGCCCTAATTCGGGGGACCTGGCCAGCGAGCCTAGACCTCATCCAGCGCAATACTGGGCCTAGCGCACAAGCGAAGAGTAGCATCGACGCAGGATCTCCCTGCCGCACACCATTTTCCACCGAAAACTCGATACCAGTAGCCCCAGGGAAGTTGATAACAGCCACATTGTCACGGTATAGCTCACGATAAAAAAAGAAAAAACTTCACCCGGAACACCCATAGCATCCAAGACCGCTAGGATCCAGGAGACGATCAGAGAGGGGAACGCTTAAAGTCCGTGAAGAGAACTCCCGAGCGACCCCCACCAGTAAGCATCTGACGAAGACCCCACCATTCAATCCCAACCACGTTGTCAAGGAACCAACGTCGCGCGACCCCCCCTCGCTGGATCGTGTCGATCACGGTCGGAGCAGCCCGCTGGAGGCCGATGGAGAACGCGTCGCTCAGGAGCTTCACATCGGTGTTCGCAAGTGTGAGAGGTCGAGTCTTACCAGGTGACCGAGCGAGGGCCGCGGGTTTCTCGTCGTCTTTGAGGTCTTTGGGCAGAAAACACATCCTTCCACGACGCATGCACGCAGAGACAGCACCCCCCCCCCCGACGCCTGATACATCTCCTCATAAACAGCAACAAGAACTTCAACGGCTCCCCCCCAGCTTTCCAGCACCCGCACGGAATGCAATCCTCCCCAGGAGCAGAGTGATGCTTGTATTGGGCCCGCTCTATGAAACCGTCGACCTCCAACTTCCACTGCGAGGCGCCCAACTGGATCGGCTGGGCATGGGCGAGGATTCCAGGCCAAAAAGTCCGATCGGGTTCCTTGGCGGCAAAAATCGCTTGCCAATGGTCACGAAGGGCCTCAGCAGAGGCCGTCGGGGAAGGGCAAACTTGCCCTGCGCTGTCCAGGATTCCAGAGAGCCCGTATCGCCGACGCATCTTGAACCAGGCTCGACGAAGGTGTTGCAAGCGTGCCATAGCCTTAGCCTTAGACTTCTCGTCCTCCTTCCATCCGTCCACCGCCCGCTCCTCCGACTCATGCCAAGCACCCTTCAGAGACTGCACCAAAGCGCCCAATCCTGCTAGACCCACGCATCTCTCATGGTCAGGATCGAAGTACTGAAGCAACCGCGGATACGCACGGATCGCGCACACACACTGGTCGAACCTGCCCATGCGCCACCCACGGAAGGCCATCATAGCATAGTGGAGCTTCTCACAGTTCTCTTCCGGAGGCTTCATCCGAAGCCGAGCCTTGAACTGAGGGACCATCTGCCAGAAAATCTCCTTCACCCGAGCCAATTCCTCCCGAGGGGTCAGATCCTGGTCGATTTCCATAATAGCGCTGGCACACAACTCATGGCAAGCACAACGACGGGGCATCCATTTAGGAATCTGGGCGGGCAACGCCGATGGCATTCTCAGAGCGACAGTAGCAACAACGGGGATATGGTCGGACGAGGCGAATGTCTTCACTGCATGTCCAAAGGTATTAACTGTCACAGCTAAGTCATTCAGAACGGGGGCAGAGAGGGAAGTGTAGATGCGGCCCAGGCGGGCAACCCCACGAACTTCTCCCTGGAACACATCCCGCCGCGTCGGATCAGGTTGGAAAAGCTCCGCCCAAGACCCGCAGATAGACTGAAATGCATCGGTGTGTTCCCTATCTCCTGCTAGCCACGTGCCATCAGTACGGAACCGCCCCTCATCCACCTCCATAAAGTTCCAATCCCCTGCAATCAAGCACATGGTGTGCGCAGCCAAAGAAAGGAAAGCCTGACTCACGCAAAGGCACCTGCGATACATCGCAACATGATCCGAGGTGTTCGGCATGTGTACATTGGCAATCACTAAGTCCCCGCGACATCCTTTCAGGTGCGAAGCGAGAACTCGGCCAGCAATCAACGGGCACGAAGAAATCGATTCGAACGGCGAAGCCAGCTTACTCGAGATGACAGTAACCACACCGCCCCCAGCTCTCGGATCGATCATCGAATGGTGAATAACTGCATTACGGCAACGGTCACCCCGCTGTAACATCTCCACATCCGACACTGTGCCATGAGTCTCCTGTAAACACACAACGTCGAACCTGCCGACAAGACCATGCATCTGCTTGTGCCGCTTAGCTGCCAATGGAGACAACGTAGAGTACGAAGAGAAGAGAGCACGTGTATTCCAAGAGCACAGGGTAAGCGCAGAGGAGGGAGCGAACACCCCATTCGCTCCAGAGGACGGGTCACCCGGGGTAAAAGGTCCGCCTGAATTCAAATTAAAACACGGGTTGGCTGGCTGAGCACCGTCCTGGCTAGTCGGAACACGGGTCCGATGGTTTCCCCCGACAGGCCCCACATCCCAGGGGGGGCCCGAACCACCAGGGACCCGACAAAAATCGCCAGGCAGCGCACTGGGAGTTACGAGGCAGGGAGCGCCAGAGCAACTGTGGGCCTCACACAAAGGGCCGAATCTGATCAAAAAGAGTTGCAATACAGCCTGCATGATCGCCTACTCCGAAGGTTCCGAGGGCCTCAGGAATCAGAACAAGTTCAGGACGACCACACTCACGGACCGTCACCTTCGCCAGAATCACTGGGTGAGTCGCCGTAATGAGGCCGTATATTTGACCGCCGAGACCATTGCTGCCCACCTGGAAACCTTTCTCCCCCAGGACCTTCCCGATGATAGCACGAATCTGCCCGAGGTAGTAGAACAACTTACCGCTAGCGGGGGGCAAGTCCCGACGCACACGGAGCTCCCATCCCTGGTTATCGATCGGGTTCTGGTACACAGTCTTACCAATAGTCTGGCTCTTCCCAAAGAACGCAGTGCATGACAGAGTGCTGTGGAAGTCAAGGATCACCTTCCTCGTGAGAGAGTATGCTCGAACGATCGGCCCCTCCCCTGCTGGACTGCACGCAGCGACACTAGGGGCCTCCGCTTCCATGAGAGACGCCTCCAGAAGGGGTTTTTCAAATCCAAGGACAACAAGACGGGTGGCACTGGCTTGGTCAGGCCCCGACGTACGCATCATCTTCCGACGCCCTCCTTCCCCTTCTCCTCCCACGAGCTCGAACTCCGAGTCGGCACGAGTCGACGAACATGCTGAGAGCTTCTGCTGTAGTTCCTGCATCTGACCTTCGATCTTTGTCACTGCTGCAGCAAGCTTCGCATCTGTGTCAATCGAGGCCTGGTGGATCGCTGCGTCCTGGGATTCCTTAATCTCTGCCCAACGAGCCTCCGACCGACGATTCAACTCCGCGAACTCCTCCTGCATACGATCGAAGTTGGACCCCATCACTGTCATCTGCTTACTGAACATTTCAAAGTTCTCGGTATGCGAGGAGAACCCTTCCTTCACTAACTTCGTCAACGCGTAGATCTGCGCTGACACCTCGCTCTGTACCTCCGGCGAGGCGGGTGGCACACTTCCCCCCCCCGCCCACACAGGGGCAAAGGATGGAGAACTCTCTGGAGAGCCGCACATGGAGCCCGTCATGCAAGCGCCCTCAGCCATGGCGTGAGGAGGGGACAGGGAGGCCGGCCGCAGGCGCAGGCGCGCGGGCCGAGAGAGAGGGAAGCAGGGAGACCCGCGGCGCGGGTCGGGGAGAGCCAGGCCACGCGGGTCGCGCAGACCACCCTGAGCCGATACGGTTTGAGCCAAAATGGCTACGGAGATGATGAGGAGGAGGAGGAGCAGGAGGAAGAGGAGGAGGAGGAGGAGGAGGATGGGGATGAGGATGAGGATGAGGATGAGGATGAGGATGAGGATGAGGATGAGGATGATGATGATGATGATGATGATGATGATGATGATGATGATTATGATGATGGTGATGGTGATGATGATGATGATGATGATGATGGTGATGGTGATGGTGATGGTGATGGTGGTGGTGGTGGCGGTGATGGGAAGAGGTAACAGAAGGATGAGGGAGCGGATGACAACGACCAAGGTGATGTCGATGACACGGATGAAGAGGAAGAGGAGAGGAGGGAGGAGGGAGGAGGGGGAGGAGATGAGGAGAAGGTGGAGCGCGGCGCTGCGAATTAAAAACGTGGACCCAACGCACAGGAGGGTTGGGCATATATATATATATATATATATATACATACATATATATAAGTGATGACACCATCGAACAGAACGGGCACTCGATTGACGAAGGATCACCCACTGGCGGTTTACTCGCGCTGGGCTATGGCACGAGGTATGTTTCGACCGCATTGCATTAGACGGACGTGTCGCTGTTCGTGCAACTTGCTCAATCGAAAGATCTAGCAGAAAAGGGAGCTGCTTTAGCTTGAAAATTGCTCACATGAAAACTGCAGCGAGGGCATGCAGGATATGCCTAGAGTCCGCCCCACAATAGCTCGTCGAAGCGGCAACGTGCGCACAAAACCAGAAGGAATAAGGAAACATACAGACATACTCTGGCATCGCTAACCAGGGTGTGCTTGCAACCAACGGCGCGAAAGTCAGAAATACGACATGGCCGCGCAGCGTCATGCTCCAACGCCCACGTCCTTCAGCGACGGTACGTGAAGATCTGCCTTCTCGGTGCCGTCGCAGCTATGCGGCAGCCTCGCGTAGTCGCTATCGCTCTTCGCTGCGGCGCTCATCGCACGCCACTTCTGAACTGTCGCCGCAACGTTGATTACACATATGAGAAAAGTACCAACTGTAGACCACCTGTCAGGCATCTGACCGAACATAAACACCTGGGAAGCATAGCTCAGTGGCACGGACACGTACCCGGCGATGCTGGCTACGGCGCTCACGGACACGGATTGGTAGCCTTTGACGTTCGACAGGAGGCCCACCCAACCAACAAGAGCCGACACGACGACCAACATCGTGCTGAGATCCTCTGAGACTGGGAACGGCGACTCGTCCGGGGTGAGCAGAAGAGACCACGTCATTCCGAAAGCCACAGCGACAACGTCGTTGAAGAGGCACAGGGTCACCGGTGGGAGGTCCTTGAGACTACGAGATGCTAGGTTCATCATGGCACCTGCGAAGCCCGCGCCAAAAGGCAGCAATGCAGTAGAAGCCGGGCACTCGGCGTCGACAGCCTTCGGCTTGTTGACCAAGGCGGCACCTGCAAGGCAGATGACGACCTGAAGCGGCCAGACGGCAGGTATGTCCTCCTTCAGCAGGAGGCGTGCAGAAGCGACGAGAAAGATCGGACTGCTGGCAATGACGGTCACGACAACATCACCCAGAGGAAGGCACGACCGGATCGCTGACCATAGAAGTGCAATGAAGAGGATGTAGGCGAGCCCACGGAGCAGCAACTTCACAGCGATCTGGCCACGAGGAATCCCACTGCCCTGCGGGCGTAGACGGTTTAGAGCGTCTCTTGTTCAGCCCACTTCTTCCCCTTCAGGAAGGGGGTTATCCCTCCCCATGCCCCGTGCTGGAAGCTTTCCACAAACCCGCCAACCGTCGAGTAGGAGATCGACTACAGAGCTGATGTACCTCAAAGTTGTTGCTTCGGTCGAGAACTCCGTAGACCTACGGAGCATTCTTCGTATGTTTCGCAGGTTCGACGAAAAAAACAAGTTTTGGGGAAATCAATGATGTAGTCGATCTCCTAGTTACTCGAAACCGAAGGCCACTCGGGCCTGCTTGTGAGCCTCTTGGGTCGGCGGTGGACAAACCTCCCTTTAGTAAACCTCCCTCTAGTGAAAACAGCCTGGGACCGAAACTGACGGACCTGGACCCGCAAAAATGACGGCCGCGACGCCCTCTCGCGAACCGAAAACGGCCAATTCGCTAATCGACGTGTCAGGGTAGGAGGTCTGTCCACCCCCGATTGGGGACCTCTTAGGGAGCTTCTGGAAGGCATCTTGGAGGGCTCTCGGGGGCCACCCAGCGCCTCTTGTGCTCGTGTGGGCGCCGACGGCGCTTTCCCCTGTTGGCTTTGTGGAGGTTTGGACGGGGGCCCTTTTGAAGGCATCTGAGGCCGTCTTCGGCTGCTTCTGGGCCCGTGCTGGGGCTCTCGTGGGGCCCTTCGGGAGCGGAAAGGCGACAAGGCAAAGATTTGAACTTTACCCTGATTCTGAAAGATTGCGGGTCTCTCGAGGACCTTCTGAGGGCATCTTGGCGTCATCTTGGGCCGTCCCGGGGGCTGTCGTGGCGTATCTTGTCAGGTCTTGCCGCGTCTTGTCTCGTCCTGGCTCGGCCGTCTTGGGGACGTCTTGGACACTACGCCACAAAAACATACAAACATACACCCGCCGACGAGTGCTTCCTGTGCCTTCAAGTGAGGGTGCCGGTGTATAAAATCGCTGGCTCGTGGTACACCGCCACTCTCCCCGTAAGGCTTAAGAACAATATTTCCCCGAATCGTCCCAACCTCCACGGCAAAAAATGGCAGTCAACCTAGCCCCAGCCGGAAAGTGATACAGCCAGGACTGAAGGGTCTAGCCAACTCCTGCTGGCGGCGGAGGAGAAGGAGGAGCGGACGGGGGGGAAGAGAGGTCCGATACGCCGCGGCGAGGATTAGGAACAATCCACTGGAGGGCGTCTGTACATAACTATATATATATATACATATGTACAAGCATAAATATGTAACATAAATGTACATATCTATGTGTTTTGGTAGCTGCATATGCAAATGAATATGTATATACATATGTATATGTATATGTATGTGTATGTGTATGCGTATGTGTATGTGTAAATGTAATGCATATGTATATGTATACGTATATGAATATGTAAAAGGTAAACGTGTATGTAAATGTATGTGTATACGTATGCGGATACGTATTTGTATACGTATACGTATACGTAAATGCAAATGCCAATGCACATGTATATGTAGATGCATATGCATATGTATATGTAAATATATATATACATATATATATATATATGCAAATGTGTATTATATATATTATGTGTGTCGGAGGCTGGGGAGTGAGATTGCAGTGCAACAGAGACCCCCAACCGGGGAAACGTTTCGTTTCGTTCGTGTCGTGCGTGTGGGCGAGGCGAAGCTGCGTGGGCGCGCGAAAGGAATGAACCCGCCGCTGCTAGGGCGAAGTCAAGACAAATGATTATCCCCCGTCCGTCCGTCCAGCGGTGGCTCGCGGTGAACCGCGGTGTCCCGGGGTGTCCCGTGGTGTCCCGTGGTGTCCGCCGTTGCTAAGGCAAGGCAAGACAAATGATTCTCCCCCGTCCGTCCGTCTGGCGGTGGCTCGCGGTGTCCCGCGGTGTCCCGTGGTGTCCCGTGGTGTCCCGTGGTGTCCCGTGGTGTCCCGTGGTGTCCGCCGCTGCTGGGGCAGAGCAAAACAAATGATTCTCCCCCGTCCGTCCGTCCAGCGGTGGCTCGCGGTCCCGCGGTGTCCCGCGGTGTCCCGTGGTGTCCCGTGGTGTCCGCCTTTGCTAGGGCGAAGTCAGGACAAACGATTCTCCCCCGCCCGCCCGTCCGTCCGTCCGTCCGGCAGTGGCTCGCGGTGTCCCGTGGTGTCCCGTGGTGTCCCGTGGTGTCGCGTGGTGTCCCGTGGTGTCCCGTTGAATGAGATCGATAGCGAGATCGATAGTGAGATCCATAGTGAAATCGATAGTGATATCGATACTGAAATCGATGTGGTGCCCCGTAGTGTCCCGTTGTATCCCGTGGTGTCCCAAAAAGTGAAATCGATAGTGAGATCGATACTGACATCGACAAGGTGTTCCGTGGTTTCCCGTGGTGTCCCATGGTGTCCCGTTGGGTGAGATCGATGGCGAAATCGATAATAATCAGATCGATACTGAGACCGATGTGGTGCCCCGAGGTGTCCCGTAGTGTCCCAAAAAATGAAATCGATAGTGAGATCGATGTGGTGCCCCGTGGTGTCCCGTGGTGTCCCATGGTGTCCCGTTAAGTGAGATCGCTAGTGAAATCGATAATGGGATCGATGTGGTGTCCCGAGGTGTCCCGTGGTGTCCCCTGGTGACCTATGGTGTCCAGTTGTGTGAGATCGATCGTGAAATCGATCGTGAGACCGATTGTGACATCGAGAAGTGTCCCGCGGTGTCCCGTGGTGTCCCGCGGTGGCCCGTGGTGTCCCCTGGTGTCCCGCGGTGTCCCTTTGAGTGAGATCGATAGTGAGATCGATAGCGAGACCGATTCTGAAATCGATGTGGTGCCCCGAGATGCCCCGTGGTGTCCCAAAAAGTGAGATCGATAGTGATATCCATAGTGAGATCGACAAGTGTCTGGTGGTGTCCCGTGGTGTCCCGTTGAATGAGATCGATAGTGAGATCGATTGAGTCGGATGTTGGTTCCCTCCGCGTCCCACAACCTCCTCATAACCCGAAGGGTGGTCGTATAGGTGTATATATATATATATATATATATATATATGTATACGACCGCCCTGCGGGCGATAAGGAAGTTAGGGGGGGGATTGAGATCAAATGCCCACCCTGACTTACCTCGCAGTCTGCCGCGATCGCGCCCAGGCACCGACAAAAATGAATTAATGGATTGGGTTGGGTGGATTGGATTGGATGGGATAATATGGATTGGATAAGATCAGATGGGTTGGATTGGAAAAGATGGATTGGATAAGATAAGATGGATTGGATTGGCCTGCCGCAGGCGCATCAACAAATGAATTGATGGATTGGGTTGGACGGATTGGATTGGGTGGGATAAGATACGATGGGACAAGATGGGTAGGATAAGACAAGATGGAGTGGATTGGACAAGATAAATTGGACAAGATAAGCTGGATTGGATAAGAAAGCCCGCCACAGACGACGACTAAAATGAATTGATGGATTGGGTTGGGGTGCATTGGATTGGATGGGGTAAGATGGATTGGATAAGATCAGATGGGTTGGATTGGAAAAGATGGATTTGATAAGATAAAATGTATTGTACTGGCTTGCCGCAGGCGCAGAAACAAATGAATTGATGGATTGGGTTGGATGGATTGGATTGGGTGGGATAAGATACGATGGGACAAGATGGGTTGGATAAGACAAGATGGAGTGGATTGGACAAGATAAATTGGACAAGATAAGCTGGATTGGATAAGAAAGCCCGCCACAGGCGCCGACAAAAATGCATTGATGGATTGGGTTGGGTGGATTGGATTGGAGGGGATACGATGGATTGGATCATATCAGATGGGTTGGATTGGAAGAAATGAATTGGATAAGATAAGATAGATTAGACTGGCCCGCCGCAAACGCAGAAACAAATGAATTGATGGATTGGGTTGGGTGGATTGGATTGGGTGGGATAAGACAAGATGGGACAAGATGGGTTGGATAAGATAAGATGGATTCGATTGAACAAGATGGATTGGATAAGATAAGCTGGATTGGATAAGAAAACCCGCCGCAGGCGCCGGAAAAAAATATATGAAATTAGCGACATGCGATAGCGCCGGGACGCCTGGGACACCCGAGACACCGCCCGGCCCAACTGGGACACCTCCCGGCCACCGGCGGAAGGGAAACGGACTTTCGCTCCTACTGACACCCGGGACACCCGGGACACCGCCCGGCCCAACTGGGACACCTCCCGGCCACCGGCGGACGGGAAACGGACTTTCGCTCCTACTTCGACCTAGCTACAGGAGGATCACGCGCAGCTTCGCCTCACCCGCACGCACGACACGAACACGAAACCGAAACCAATTCCCCCGTGGGGGGTCTCCGTTTCACTGAGCCCCGATACCTATACGACCACCCTTCGGGTGATAAGGAGGTTGTGGGGGGGAGAGAGAGGGGAACCAACATCCGACTCAATCGATCTCTCGATCTCACTATCGATCTCACTCAACGGAACACCACGGGACACCACGGGACACCACGGGACACCACGGGACACCACGGGAAACCGCGGACAACTCTCGATCTCACTATCGGTCTCGCTATCGGTCTCACTATCGATCTCACTCAACGGGACACCATAGGTCACCACGGGACACCACGGGCCACCACGGGACACCGCGGAACACCACATCGATCTCACTATCGATCTCAGTATCGATCTCACTCAACGGGACATCACGGGACACCAGCGGGCCACCACGGGACACCACGGGACACCGCGGAACACCTCTCGATCTCACTATCGATCTCACTATCGGTCTCACTATCAATCTCACACAACGGGACACCATAGGACACCACGGGACACCTCGGGACACCACATCGATCTCACTATCGATCTCACTATAGATCTCACTCAACGGGACACCACGGGACACCACGGAACACCTGTCGATATCAGTATCGATCTCACTATCGATCTCACTTTTTGGGACACCACACGACACCACGGGATACCGCGGGGCACCACATCGATCTCAGCATCGATCTCACTATCGGTCTCACTATCGATCTCACACCACGGGACACCACGGGACACCTCGGGGCACCACATCGATCTCACAATCGATCTCACTATC